GCTACCTGCCTCGGTAAACATCGCTCGCCGTGGCAACCTATTTGGTGTCATGCGTAACACATACCCCGACCAACGTGATCTTTGGCGGTCGACTACTTGCTCCAGTGGACGACCACGGTTACCTAAAACTGTACGCCTAACCTCAGCATTGCTATTCCAGTTACCCCACCACACTTGTGCAGTGCGACGTAGACAGCGGTGTTCGAACACCGACAATCCGTTTTTATCCTGTTCCTGTAATAGTCTCTGCACTGTAGAGAAGCACTGGCCGAACTGCTGCGACAGCCGGATGTCACAACGGCACCACAAATGTCTCAAGTTGGCAAATGCCATTCGAGCCTTTTGTGTGCGTGTCGACACTTCATCAGTGATGCGTCCGCCAGGTGAGATATAACTGCCCACATAACAAAATTTGTCTACTTTCTCTACTACTTCCTCGGTCAGGGTGAGGTCGGGGGCTGGACCAACTCAGTCTTGCAGTAGCATTTTAAACTTCAGAGGTGCAAAACGCATACCGAATACATAAACATGGTTACGTGGGCATCATTCAAGCTATCCAGGGAAGCTTGCAACTTACCTGGATTTACAAAGCCTTGATCAAGTCTAAAACCAGTCTGGATCTCACTCTTCACGTGCGGCAGACATTCGACGGAGTATGATCCTAGCGAGAAGTTTAGAGGCAATGTTGATTAAACTAATTCCTCTGAGGTTTTCACAAGAGGACTTGTAGCCCTTCTTGTAAATCGGTATGGTCACCAATTCACACCATTCAGGTGGAACCTCTTCCCTCTCCCACACTAAACCCAGGGGTTACGTTAACTTCAAAACCAAGACTGAAGCTCCATGCTTCAAAACCGATGAAAACAGCCCGTCGGGGCAGGAAGCTTTATACCTTTTGAGATAGCTTATTTCTCTGGTAATCTCCATTTCAGATGGAGTACTGATATCAACTGGCAGTATTTGCACTAGTCAATTCACAACCGATTGCGTACTGTAAGGCAGGAGTAGTATGGTAGTAGTTGCATCTGATGCACCGAGAGCTCTCTCTCTACTCAATAAGTGTGGACACCGACCGCAGATTTGTTCAGCCCCGTTAATTGGACAGAATGAGTTCAGATCCGTTGGATGAGACAACAGATCTTATCTGCACACTATGAGTTAGTTGTCCTTGCCAGCAGCAATTTTTCTCACTGATGTTGATATATTTCGGCTACCCGATTGCTGGAGTGTGGCCACTTACGGATAACTGATCCGAACACAGATCCCCGGGGTGATAATTATGCTGACGTTACCATCCGGCCACCACCGCCAGCTCAAATGTGCAGCTTCTGTCAGATACAGTCCCGTTAGATCCCTACAGCTGCCAACACACCTATCACACAGAGGACCAAAAATAATTAGACAATTGGGTCTGTCACTACTTATGCTTGGCAAACAAAAAAACGGAATTTCATATTTCGAATCTCTAGACACATTTTATTGTGGCCTACAACTGACTGATATATTTTGCCTGGGGCCAGATTGAGGCATCGATGCATTGACGGCATTCGGATGTAGTGCGATGTGTGAGCCCGTATCGGCCTGCCTGCCTTTTGACGTGTTGCCTCGGTCTATGAAGCGGCTAAATAATTACCGTTTACAATAAACCTACTGCTTAATGAATTGTGTGCTCATCTATCTTCTTAATCTGGGATGCAACACATTTCATCTTGATTTGTACGTGAATGGGCCTATTGATCTGAAAAAAAATTGGTCAAACAGGTGCCAATAACCCATGTCAAGGTAGAAACCGACGAAATGATAAGTTAGCTCCAAACATCAAATATCTACAGACGACACACCAAGGGAATTAAAATTGATGGGGAACTGTGATAGCCTCGATCACACTGCACACCGATCAACTTACGACAAACATAAACATGTCGAACGGTTCCACAACTCGGACAAAAACTGAACCATGCGCCCACGACCTAATTCGAATGGGTTTGGATCCGGGGATAAAACGTTCCCGTTCGGGGAGTATGATTTCCGTTTGGCTCGTATCTGTTTGAGCATTTCATTGGCGTGATTGCGGATACTGCCAATTGGACACCGGTCTGCGCTTTGCAAGAACTGCTCCAATTCCTCGCGAGACTGAGTATCCGATAGGACGGCTGAGGCTGCCAGGACGACTGTTTCTGGATCACACAGAGTCGGATCGAGATTGTTTGACTTGAGAAATGCAGGATTGTGAACCTCGACCAGTTGACTGATAGCGGGAACCTGAGTTAGATGAAAAAAACAGAAATGTGAAGATGTCCGGTTTAGGGATTGTGACATAAAACGAACGCAGAAATACATTATTCCATTTCGCCTGATCGCCGAGCTTGGCAATTTGTTTGCAAACGTTTTATCACCAGCCGAGGTGACACTATCAGTGCTTGTGAAGTGGCCACATGAATTATACGCACGCATATGTAAATAAACTTAAACCTCGCCAATGTGGACAGCCTTCCTTTGTGATAAAATGGTGATATCACGGGAATTCCTTTTTTTCGGCGGGTGCCATCTAAGTGTCAAATTTGCACGATTTTTACAACTCGGCAAGTTTATGAACGTTCGGTATTATTGCACTATAACACACCCAGTCCCCGAACGTTTTACCACAGATGTATAAGGACAATGAACAGTTGTTATAGAATAGTAACTGCACGGAAGATTCACATTATTACATTAACAGATAAACAATATGGCGAATAAAAATGTTTTTCTTTCAGCTTCCTATTCCAGCATTTTCGGCCGTGTGTGTGTGTGCCCACGTGCAAACCCTGTATTATAACCTGACCGAGCGACTGTACCAGAACTACTGCGTTCCCGGACAAGAAGAGAAATTTGACGTTTCTGCCCAACGCGTAGGGAGCAAGTGTGTGTGTGTGTGTGGTATGACCACCTTCGTGGTCCATCTTGTTGCTAGTGGCCACTCGTGGAACAGTAAGAATTTTATGCGATTCTTTTCGTTCCACCGGCAGATAACGTTACAAAGTCCTTGAACCAATGAGGTGACCGCGAACTGGCCGATGACCGGACGCTTTTCCTTTCCTGATTTGATCAGTTGTTTGTGACAAAGTGAAGCGATGAGTCACTCTCACGGTGTTTCCGCCTCTTCACGGCGGACAAGACGGGAGGGGTGATTCGGAAACTGGGACCGGTTTCATCCCCGAGGTAAAATGCTTCGACTGGGGGTGTTGAAATTCAATCATGGGCGCAAATCTGTGAAAATGATGAAATATTCGATCAGAGTTTTCTTCGTGACACACGTGCATGCCAAGTGAATTTTCATGACTTGATGAGGAATGGGACAGCACTTCTCAAGCGCGTCCAAAACAATCCAATACACACCAAGCGCGGACAAACGTGTTCCCCGTGAAGCTGAACTTTCAAGTCAATATGATCACATTTATGTGGACAGAAAAGGGAACAGAGTTTAGACTGAATTGGGCTAATATTATTTACATAGTACGTTTAGTCGTATACCGAACGAACTGGGGGTGAACCGAGAAGTCAGGAAGTGCGAGTCAGTTGTTGCAACCTGGTTGGATCTCATCAGTGGTGTGCAAATTTATCGACCCAACTGGGAGATCGAACCTGGGATCTCACAGCAACAACGCAGGCATATTACTTAATTGCCAACCGGGTAGCTGATCAATCCGTTCTTCATTTTTCCTATACACAATATGGTACCGCCAATCTTTGTGAGCTTAATGCGGGGATCAACCAACCCGGGTTTGTTTAGCGTATCCTAAATTTTCAGTTTACGTTGGGGTGGTCAGCTTATCACCCCAGAGGACGTGGACGCGAATTCCACCACAAAAGCTCATTTGTTTCCCATCTGTGCATGAAGTCGTAGGGTGGTTGCAGCCACACCACCTTCCTGAAGGTTGTAAATCAGTGTATTCGATAAAATAAATTGAAAAGATTTAAAGATTTACTTGCTATGTACACAAAGATATTCATCATATCACCTAATTACATATTTTTTCCGCTTGCGAGTACCCAAAAATACTATTTACCGCCGTCACAACTAACGCTTACGGTTCAGGTTACCCAGTCGAAAGCTGGTCTTCCGGAATGCGATAGTGGCTATGACATCACCAAAACTGGGAAGCAATTGCGCCGCAGCATATTTGTGACAAATGCATCTCACCCCCGCACCTCTTCATGAACTGAAGCAAACTGAATAAATCCTATTCGTGTCCGACTCGAATGTAACTGTAATGATATGCGAATAGTGACTGCAAAGATTCGCGAATAAAATCACCACAGCCTCCTATTCGCACCCACTCTGGCAGTTCTGATTGATACCCCAGGTGAGGACAAAGAAACGCTCCGCAAAAGTGACAGATAGCTGCTGATCGTTTCGGTACCATGCAAACAGAACCCATTACGAGACGAAAAAACGTGGTCACCATTGTTTGCATTCTACTGTACGTACACACAAGCTGCACATTTTCAACTGGACGATTGACGTGCGGGGTAGCGAATTAGATCACGTGACGAGTTTCAGTCAGCGAATTGACCAGATGGATCTGCGAGTAAGTGTACGCGATTGAAAAGAACAATGAAAATTCACGAAAGAATACGGTGCCCGAAATGCGACTAAGACTACCTACTCTTTGGCATATATCTCAGCAATGGTTCTACGTAAACAAATAAATCTTGGAGGATTATGGATAGTCTCCGGGTGCTAAACAAAAGTCGAAATACTTTTGTTATCAGTCGAACCGGTTTTTTTTCCTCGTTGAAGGCAGTTTTGCGTAGAGAGGCAAACCTTGATCAAAAAATGCAACGACCCTAATATTTTCTCGTGACAAAGGTTCAACTCTGTTTTTCCACTTAAAAAGAAGACAACTGGCTGCAACCACATGAACGACTCGTTTTGATTCGTTAACGCGGTTGCACGAACTGACTCGATCGGTCTAAACCGGTTCAAATCAGGATCAGGGTTTGACCGGTCAAATGTACCAGAGCCATCCTGAGTTTGTATGATGAGAGGAGCACATCTACGTATTGCCTTATTGGAGAATTACATAACTGACGTGGTCTTCAAGACTAAAGAGAAAAAGAAAAACAGGATCAAACTAATGACCACACCGTATGAATAAATCCACACGGCTGATAAGTGGGGTTACCTATCAAGGCAAATTACATCCTATACCAGTGCATGGGCTGCGCCATAATTGAAAGATGCAAACAGCACTAGTATGCAGCCCATCCAGACCATCATCATGACATAAAACTTTCGATCGCGGGACACCATTCAATCATAGTACTCATTCCCCTGCACACTGCATTAATAGGCAAAAATAATCCTGAGCAAGTCGTGGAGATTCCCTCTACCAGCGGTTATACCCTTCTGATACACATCTGGTAGACAGAGTATTCCTTACGCGACCATCACATTTGTTAACTGGTCCGAGACAATCCGGTAGACCAGATTTCATTTCACGATTTGGAATACCTTTTCTCTTCCCCCGTGATATTTTGAAGTCGCATCCAGCAAAACTGACAGGGAATCTATTACCAGTCGCTTTCTTACCGAGTAATTCTTACTTTTAATTTTTTTTTATCTGATTCAACCCCACATTCATGCAGGCTAATGTTCACCACTGCCACCGCTTCACAAGCACTAAAGATCTCCCCTCGGCTGGTGATGAAACCGTTACAAACAAGTTGTCAAACTCAGGGCGAATGGGCAAAATTGAATTGATATTCACCGGCCCTAGTGAACTGAGATCAAAGAAACCGCTGAGGCACAATACCTTCCGCGCAAATGCGCGAGCAGACCGTAAATGGTAAAAGCTACTTCGTGGTGGCGGTGAGCACTGTTTACTGTTTCTCTATTAGATTTCACCCCGCTCTCTATGACGCAACCAGGTAGTGTTGAAAAACAAATAAACATAGTAACTATTGACCACCCGTACTCAAGGGGCCGGGTAAGCATTTCACACTAGAGGAATACAGATGAAGGGATTATGGTAATGTTGCGGACATATGGATAACCCTAATATCACTTCGCGGACTGTAAACGTCACACACAATAACTGCTATTGTGTGATTGGAGAAAGCTGCTTATTCGGACGCGAAAGTGTAATAACCACTTGTGATGATTTACTGTGATTTATTGTTATAAAATTTGAAATTCCAAACTTACACCCCAAAGGCCCCATTTCATACGACTGACCACGCTTGCCTCCGATTGGTTCATTTCCTCATAAATTTAGACTTCAGTCCCAAGGTCACTGATGGTCGTCCTTATAAATGTATACAACAGATGAGCTGTCCACTATGGTCGTCTTTGAACTGAGTCGAATATACACCCCAAATCGAAGGTCTCTCCTTCCTCTACTACTCGGTTTGGGCTTGGGGATGGGCACTGTTGGGCGAATTCACGGGTTTTTCTTTCGGTCACTGGGTCGTTCCGGTTTTCTACTGTGCTGATCTGCCCTATCGTGTGCACTCTGGTCCGTGATCCTAGATCCTCTGGTCGTTGCCACTATCCATGGGTTAAAACATTCAGTCCACTACCGATTAGGATGAACGAACAAATCTCGAGTAACCTCGTTAATTGACGTGCAGACGCACGTCATTCGTAGGAATAAAGAACCAAAACACATTGAAGTCGAAAGATTATCAGATTTTCCGAGGCTGCAAGTCATCAATCAGCTCAGACCTGGTCTGCAATCGCCCTAGTGACCCAACTGATTTAGCAGTTAGAACTGCTGCGTAACACAATTCATGAGTCAGCAAACCCGTTGACCTCTCCCTAGCCTCTGCTCCAGCTGATCTTGACCCCAATGTAGTTTCTGTTGCCAAACATTTTTGTGATTACGAAACCCACATTACTTCTTGGTTCTGTGTCTTGTCTGGTTGTGCAGGATTTAACGAGTTCGGTGGGACCACCGGACCAGCCATGCTGGCGTTGGGCGCAGAGTTTCAGGTATTAGCAGTCACATGTCACCAAATAGATAGCCACGGCACCTGCAGTCTGGCGAGGCAAGTGCAGAGTGGAAAAAAATGAAGGATGTTCAGACTCAGACATGGCATGAGGGTATGAAAACCCTGACCAGGAGACCGGCTCATATCGATCAAGTTAGACTGCCTGGATGTGGACGAGGGGAGCAAGGTAATCAATGACTAGAGATAGTGATGTGGCACAGTATCGTAAACAGCGGGCTCTCGTGTACCTTCTCAATTTCTTCGCAGCCTTTGTTTTTCGTGAATTCCCTATTTGCACTGTGAACCCGGATTCGAATATTCTAATCTTCCCATTTCTGCTTGAATTCAAATGGGCAGTCATGAGACAGGAATCAAAACCGGGGCACGAAAGTGCATGGTGAATAATAAATGAAAAAAAAATGAACTGAACTGAACTACGATCTTCTTATATGCTTGATGAATGATAGGAATTGCATTGATACCTCGTTAACTAGCTCCACAAGGGACTATTTGAATGTGAGCTAACACTCAACGTTCGACTATTAACTATAGAATTATGTTCAGTAACATGTATTCATTTAATTGTGAGTGGATAATTGAATAAGAGTGTACACAATATGGTTGACCGGGGTCAAATTGGCTCAAATTATTCTACTTGTCGAGCTTAAATAGATATCTCGAAGTGACAATGTCGCGTATTCATTTGAAAAACGACTAAGGCTAAAGTCACGAATATCCAACAAACTCACCTCAATCGCGGCCGAGAGGATATGGGACACGATCCAGTACCACACTTGTCTTTCCGCGATCCGAGTTCGCTGCCATCGTTGCAAATCTTTCGTCGTGAACAGGCAAGTGATTTGTCCGGGGGGATGGGTATTCCGCCAGACTGGATCGGCATACGAGTCCAATTTCATGCCAGTGACCAGATCATGCAAACGGGACCACATGATATGCTCCCGAAGCAGATGGTTTATCGGTTCAGTGATCTTGATCAGAAAGAGAATTTCAGACGGGACGAGTGAAACATAAGAATCGCGTTTGTTCGCGAATGACAAAACTGAAAAAAACACTGGGAGATTTTTATCTTTCATATAAATAGGTTAAATTAGAAACGGCGTCAGTCACTGATTCGGGTGCAGTTCAAGGTGTTGTTTTATCATCCTCTTGGGTCAGGAATTACATCGCTGACTTGCCTACTACTTGCCTGTACGACATCTGAAGTCTGCTGATAAAATCGTCATTTTTATTTACATGACTATTGACTCGGAACTGGCAGTAAACCACACAAGCATATCCCACCTCGTTACGTATTACACTTTATCCGGTCTTAATCTCAATCCTGAAAAATGCCTTGAATGCGTTTTTGCTTTAAAACCGTTCTCCATCTCTC